GTTACACTACAATACTTTGCACCATGAAAATATTGAGACATTGTAACATCCAAGTAATAACATTCTCTTCTGGAGCTTCCTTGTATGTGGAAATCCTGATAGAGATTTTGGGGGTGACAGCGCCTTGCTGCTGCTGTGGTGACTGTTGTGTGGGCAATTGTATTTGTCCCAACCCTTGAACAAAAGTGGCTATAAACTCTTGAAATTGTTACGTATCCATTATAGCAGAATCTGAAGAAGAAGTTTATGAATATGTATGTGGATATATATGTGTGTGTGTGGTCGCATAATTGTAACAGTCCATTGCTACCAAGTTGTAAAAGACTTTAATTTAATAAGTCAGTAAACAATTGTTATTTGGCCAACAAGACAGCAAAGTTGTTTTTATTTCAGGAGAGGTTTTTCCTCTCTATATAAGAATCTGGCCTAAAGTATCTTTTAGTTAAAATAACATAAATAAATCTATAAATACAATAATTAAAAATACATAAATCTTGACATAACGGATGTCCAGACTTATGGGGCTATAATATAACTTAAAAAGAAAAACAAAAAGAAAAATAATAATAATAAAAGAAATCTATTGGTTTGTGCTACTACTGTTTACGGGGCTAATTTCTATTCTAAGGAAATAAGACAAATTAACTATGATGAAAGGCACTCAGCCTGGGATCGCTAAAGATGATCTCGGATGATGTTATGCAGAGAGTCCAAAAATAGTAGACAGGACGGACTTCAGGTCCATAGTCACACAGAGTCATGTATACTTATATAGAATTGATGGGGGCAGATACAGATTCGTTACAGGTAGATTTAGAATACTATAGAAAATATATATAAAAAAATAATAAGAAAATGAATGATAAAGATGTAAAAAAGAGTTTGCAATCAAGTCTATAAAAAATCTAAAACAAGAGATATAAAAAGATAATTGAATAGAAACAATTATAAGAAATCCATAAAAGGAATAAAACAAAAAGACTTCTATATTTCCTAAGCCAAAAAATTATATCTCTATCAAGAAGAAAATTAATATTAGAAGAAAAAAAACTAAAAGACAAAAGCTTTAAAAAGATTTTAATTAAAGGAGTATTATATAAAATAAAGTAATTAGATTTTGAGCCTTGTTAAAATTTCTAAAAATAATTTGTAGTAATAATCTCAAATAATAAAATTAGTAGTTGAAAAGGCTTTTATCCAAATTATTAATAGAGTAATAAACCACTTTCAAAGTTGTACTTAGAGTTTCAATAAATTTTAAAATAAAAACAAGTAAGTTAAATAAAGATTTAGCTTTAATGATATCTTTTATACTATAAATTATACAAATGTTTAATAAAATACATACAGTACATTGCAAAAATCTTTGGACTAATATTACTTTGTAATTTTTATTTATAATTTAATAACCAATAAATAAAATAAAATAAAAATTTATATTTATATTGTTCAAAATATAAAAAATAAAATTATTTAAAATATTTTTTTAAAATATTTTAAAAAATTATAAACATTCAATTTGAAAATAAAGAATTAATTTTTTATGATATCCAAATTTTCATTGTATATTATAAATAAAAAAATTATTTTAATGAATATATTTATTAAATAAAAACAAATAATTTAATAAAATAAATTTTTTATAATTTTTTTATCAACAAAAAAAATTTTTATTAACTATAAATTAAATCAAATAGTTAATGATTTTTAAAATTTTATATAGATATTATAGTAAAATCAAAATTTTTTAAAATTTTAAATAATTTTTAAAATTAATTTTATATAATAAAAAAATAATTTAATTGTAAAAAAAGTATTTGCATTTAGTAAGAAATTTTTTGTTAGTTTTTTATAAATTAGAAAATTTTTCTTGATTTTATAAATAATTTTTTATAAAAATTTATCATAGTAAAAATTGTATTTTTTCCTATTTTTTATATGTGAATATTATATATAAAATTTGTCAATAAAATAATACATATTTTTTTTTTACTTCAAATTAATATTTTATAATAAATTATTGATTAATAATTGATAAAACTTTAAATATATAATCAAGATATTCTTATGATAAAAATATTAAAGTTTTATTCAAATTCAATAATTATTTATTGAATTATAATAAAAAATATTAAAGACTTTTGCAATGAACTGTATATTTAGACTAATAAAGGATTTAAAAAAATAATTTTTTATTAAGTTTAAAATTTATATATTGTATTTTGCAATAAATATATTTGAAAAAAATAATATAATTTATTATATTATTAAATATAAATAAAACTTGGTATATTGAAAATTATATTTAAAAAATAGAAATATTATATTTAACTATTTAATTTATTAAGTTTTTAGTCTTATTTAAAGTACAAACTGATTATAAGTATTTTATCAAGAATTTATAAATATGAATTGAATAATCTTTATTTTTTTTTACAAAAATTATTCTTTATTGGAAATTCAAAGACTTAGATTCTTATTATAAATTGAGAAAATGTATTCATTCTATATATAAAAATAAGTAATTATAAATTATTATTTAATCAGTATTCTTCTTTTAAATTGTTTTTTTGAAAAAATAGATATTTTATATTCAAGTTTATTAATTTATTTTAAAAATATGTTTTGATAAGCAATTATATCTTCTTTCTCATATTTATTTATATGTATTTTCTTTTTATTTTAAAATGTATACTATATATTTAAACTTTTTCAAATAGTTCTATATAATATTAGAATAAATAGTTAAAGTAATTCAAATTCAAGCCTTGACAAAATAATCTAATTCATTTGTAATATTAAGAATAAATATATTTGACATAATATATATTTTTTCTTGCTATATTAGTAACAATCTTGTTGCTTCCATTTTTAGATAATTATATTTTGCAAGTTGAAAATAAAAACAAATATTATTTAGATACATTTAAACTTTACTGTTTATATATTTTTTTAAATATTCAATACCAGATTTTTGAGAGCAACCATGATTTTGTTATACCAATCCTTATTCTTATATCATCTTTGTCCTTATTATCTACTTTTATATAATTAACTTGCTAGATCTTTTGACATTTCAGAAGATAAGCAATGAAAGGATTCTTTTTGCTGCTTTACATTATTATATATTTTTTCTTCTTTTATTGTGATCTGAGTTTCCTATATAGTGTAACCTATCTGCTTTTTAAGGAGCATGCTTCTGATGATATCTTTTTAAAGTCTATTTAGAATGTTTGTAGTATCATCATTTTTCATTGACTTATTGTAAAAAAAATCATTCTTCAATATTTTATCGCATGCAAAATCCTTTTTTGTTAACTCAATGTAAATATTATTACGATTTTCTAGCTCATCATTGTCAATTATTAGATTTTTGTTTTGGTTTGTTATGGTTGATACATCACTATCACTATTATTAGAGTACTTCAGTACAATGACGAGTTAGTCATTATGTGAAAAATCCGTAATGTTATAGATAATTATAAAATTTCTCAATAAAGATTAAGCCATATGGCATGGTTGCGGATTAAAAAAAATATAGACTGTATACAGTATATACAGTATATGGATTTATAAAAAAAATATATACAGTATATACAGTATATGGATTTATAAAAAAAATATATACAGTATATACAGTATATGGATTTATAATTTCCGGGTCACATCTTTGGTCGAACGTTGTTAAGGAATTTAATAGAGGAGCTTATCGATTATTTGGAAAGGGAAAACTTAGAGCTCGATAAAGATGATATTAAAAAGAGAAAATTGCCGGCTCTAACTTTCTTGAATTATAGAAGGAAAATTCCGTAGCATCGGTTTTGCGTTAGGTGACTTACGAAATTAATTGAAGGTCTCATTCAGGAGTTGCGAAACTACTCCTCACTTAAAAACCTCGACCTAGAGAAAAAATAAGGTTAATGGGAAGATATAACAAACATTAAGCAATTTAATCCTGGCAGGCAGTTAATTAATTTTCGATAGCTATATTGACCTTTTTTTTCTCTGCAGTCTTCGAGGAAATTGGTGATTCGAACACTACTTGAATCGCATTATCCTATCAAAAGCCTGAAAGATCTCCACTATATCACTGAAGGGAAACCACGTAATATTAATATTGGATAAGTCAACTGGATTATTGTTTTTTTATTGAGAAAATTTCTAAAGGATGATGCATTTTATCTTTTAGAATCTGGAGTAGCTTGAAAAGGCATTTCAGATAGACAAAAAGAAACGGAGCGCGACCAGGCATTTAACAATGCAATGATTATCTTGAATATCTTTATGGCATCGTGACCACAGGGACAGAATGGCACTTTATTGTATATACTCCGGATGGAATTCACTATATAAGTGGCAGTGAGTACCAGATTAATCTTACGAAATCCGCCATCAAAGCTAACCTAGAATTACTTCGAAACAACTAATTGGCATAATCATTAGGCTGTTAAAGGATCGTGCTGGTGCAGATAGTTCTCCAGCTAGCAAAAGGGTTAAGATCAAAAAATTTATAAAAAATAATACATGTATTAATTAAAAATCTTTAGCCAAAATTGCTATCCATTGGTTAGGATGACACGTGAATTTTTTAATCTGAATAATAAAATATTATCACGTTACGCAGGCCTGCATACTAGCTTAAGGTCAAAATTCAGAGATTTTTGAACTTAGAGAGAAGCTTGTTGCAGAACTTAAAAGCGATTATGAAGAAAATACTAGAATTGAGGATAGGGTCGCGAACTGACAACTCAATTTAGTTGCAGATCACCATAGGAGGTACGTAATTTATAATTTTAACTTCAACTTCGAGAAATGAATGTTAGACTCCGAAATTAAATCATGGATTATAATAATCATAGTAAGAAGCGAAGCTTTTATTAAAAAATCTTATAAAATACATCTCATTAATACATAAAGAGAAATACATAAAAGAAGTCATGCGGGACCTTTATAAATGAATAAATAACATATACAAATATTTATAGGATTCCTAATTCATCTCACAAACACTCCAAGTAAATAAATGTGCCGTCGGCTGGGATGTTTTTCCGAAGATGCAAGTCGTCCTCGTGAGTTCTGTTTAATTCAGTTCTCAACTTCTTTTTCAAATCCGTGAAGTCCTGTGGTACACCAAAGTTCCTGTCTTTATGGTATTTGATGTATTTTGCAATTGTCTTGTAAAGGTACGGATGGGAAAGGAAAGTTAAAACTAGATCTGGTTTAACCTCGTTGAGTAAGATAGCATTGACGAGGTGAACGGTGGCCGAATCGATTTTAACGAAAGAAAAAGTAAATGTATCGTTCCACTGCATTTCGATACCCCTACTATATAGGGCCGCGCTAAATAACTGAGATTGCAACTCGAATGGATCAGTTTCGTTGTTCACGTTAAGTTTCGGTTCATTGTTTGATTCTCTACGAGAAGTATTCACATGACCCACATATTTCGGAATTGCTGCGGGGTGAGGAACGTTTTCAAACAACGAGCGTTGGCCACCGAAAATTTTGTATAACCCTTCCAATCTACCAGTTCCGAATTCTTTTCGGAAAGCAGAAGGGCAGATGACCAACACCAACTTTGGGGAAATGACGTAAAAAGAATGGTAAGCAAACCCATATGGCGCTCCAAACACGGTTCCAGATACTCCTTCGAAGATTCCAAATCCGTTACTGGTTACTATAAACTCGTCATTTTCGCCAGCTTGCCAAATTATAAGAAAACAATCGATCATGCGCTGCTTGTAGTCATCTCTATCTATTGTAAAGATTTTTTCATTATCTTTGACTTCCCTATGAGATGTATCTAATATTTCGCGAATGTTTTGTAACCATACTTCTTCGGTCCTTTTTAAATTGTGCCGCCGCATAAAATCTTTTACCTTCAACCAAGTGAGATTATCAAATTTATCTTCGGTAAACTGAAACCATCGATGATCGTTTCGATAATTCATAATGAAAAGAAACTTGCGTAGATCTTCTAGATATTTCCTGAGCAAAACGACTTGATTTTGCTCTTGGGACGCTTTCAAAATATCTTTGATCGTTTTTGATGCACTTCCTTCAAGTTTAGATAGCTTCTCTTCTACGTGCATCACGTCTTTATTATTAAGATCTTTATACATATCCCAGTATCCATAAGTGCTTTTAATTAAAGAAATTCCCAGTTGATCTTTCTCTCTATCGTAAGTTTGAATAAGCTCGCCCTTTTTCATATCCTCCTTTTTCTGCTTTTTGAACTCTCTTTTTTTCCTCTGACCTTTCTTTTGCTGCTGCTTTATATTGCTCATATTACCCTTAAATATCCTCTCATGTTTGTCAATAGCAAAATTACGCAGGAGGAATCTTGGGATGTAGTGGTGGTATTGATGTTCCATTATATCGCACTCACCGGAAGCGAAATTGCTGTCTTTCAAAAATGCGTACAGTCTTTTTATCAAAGCGTAACATCATTTCTTTTACAACGTAACACAGTGGTTCCCAAGTGTCTTCAGGTTTATAAGTTAAAAACATTTGATTGTTATAGATTTTGTTTTACAGCCTGTGTACGGATAAAAGAAATGTCTATATTAGTTGTAGCATTAATCGAAAATAGTTACGATCATCAAAAAGAAAATTTGATACACGGAAGGGTTTTCTAAAAATCCGAAACTTTTACGTATTAAGTAAACATACAGTAAACACAATCCATAATCTAAAAAATGGAATCTGGAATTTAAGCTCTACTGTACAGTACATCTATACAAAACTTTTTTGATTTTTGACTTTAATATACTGTATACCTTATTTTTAAATAGTAAGTATAAATAAGATTACGACATACTGTAACTTTAAAATATTATTAAAGTAGAATATGCTTTAATAAAAATCTGTAAAAAGAATAAAAGCCTACTTATTATGAATTAGATTAATAAATCTTTAAAAAGTCTGATATAAAAATCTTAAAAACAATTAAAAAATGTATTACAGTAAATTCTATTTCAAATTAAAGAAGAAGCAAAATAATGCTTATTGAAGTTTTAATTAAAAACTCAAAAAAAAAAAAAAATAACTATATAATTAAAAAATTTTAAACTATTATTATTATAAGATATAAAAACAAAGAAATATAGATATTAAAAATCTTAATTTCATATAAAAGAAGAAATATTAAAACTCTTTTTGCTAATCCTCTAATATATAGTATATAAAAAAATATTTGTAAGAAGTTTTTTACTAATAAAATCTTAACACTTTTCTTAAAACAACTTAAATATAACTTCAAAAGTTCTTTCTTTCTTTTTTTTCTCATTTACAAATCTTGAATTATTATTTTTCTCAATTATTTTTTTTTCTCTAACCTAACAATTTATTAATTTTTAGATTAATCAATAATGATAAACTATTGACAATGATTTTGATAAATAGAGATTATAATAAATCTATTAGAAAAGTGTAATATTATTTCAAAATTTGATTTAAAGTATTTATATATAAATACAAATTAATTACTTTATAAAAGTCTGTAACCTATTATAAATTTTATTTTAATTTCTCAATAAAATATATTATTATAATAGAATTGTAAATTAGCAAAAAAAATATATTTTATAAGATATATATATATTTTTTTAATTTCTAATTATACCAATATGAACCTTATAATTTTTAAGTAATAAATCTGTTTTCGCAACAAATAGCTCTAGAACTACTGTTAATATCCATATGGCTTATTACTGAAGGAAACTTTACTATACACTTTCCTATATTTATACTTCTTTCCGATTTTTTATCTTTGGGTTAAGGTATAGAACTCTTTTTTGTATCTTATCCTACTTGATATTTTTTTATAATACTTATTATAGTATACCTATAAAGTACTTGTATGAAGTCTTAAATATTATCTCATTTTACTGAAAATCTTTTTTTACATAACCTATTATAGCCTACTTATGGGAAGATTATGTGGAGTCTTGGACAGATCTTAATTAATAGAGATTCTTCTCTAACTAATATGCTTAAGCTCTGTTAATACCTAGTTTTTTATGGCTAACAGATTTTCAACCTATTTGCAGAAGCTTATAGAACCTGTCTTATAACGAGGTGGTTTTAGTACTAAAATCAGCTGAAATATCTTATGATCTTTGGATATCTCGTAATTGGATAGGATCTTGATCAAAGGTGATTAGATCATTATCATGAAACAGATGTGATTTTATTGTATTATCTAGGTTTAGGTAATACTGTCTTGCAGTGATATTGAATTCAGAAACAGTATTTGATGATCTGGAAGCATTACTACTATGCTATGGATCCACAGGTCTATATTATTAAGATATTTAAATATAAATAATAGAAATTTGCTTATATTTTATAAAATAATAAGTTTTATATTAGTTAATTATTTTTAGTGAGAATTTGTATTATTCAAAATTCAAAATTAAATTGAAACAAATAAAATTTTTTAAAAAATCATAAAAATAAAAGCTTTAAAAAAGTTATAATAACTTATAAAGAGAAAAATTAAAAAACTTTTAAATACTCTATAGTTATTTTTTTTTTTAAAACTTTTTTTACTAATAATATTAAAATATTACTTGATATATTCTTAATTATCAAAAGTTAAGTTTTTTGAATAAAAGTATTGGAAATAAATCAGAAAAATAAAAATAATTTTGAAGTCAAGTTATTTAAGAAGAGTATTAAAACTTTATTAGTAAAAAAAAAATAAAACTTTTTACAAATATTTTTTTATATAATTTTATAATTATTATTATTCTTTATATACAGTATAAGACACTTGCTTTTGAAAAAAATATATATTTTTTATTTTTATTTATAAATAAAAAATTTATTAATTAAATATTATAAATTTATTTATGTTATACTATATATTTTTATTAAGTTTACTTAGAAAAATTTTTAAATTAAAATAGCCTGTAAATCAATAGTACGGTGATAGTGCTCCCAGATTATCATGTATTACTTCCAAGTTCAATACTATTATAAGATAATACTATCTAAACCTAGATAAAATAAAAGAAAATTATATTCATCTCATAATGATAATTACTGGCATCTCTGATCAAGATCTATCTGATTACAAAATAATCAAAGATCACAAGACACTTTAGTCAATTTTAGTGCTAAAGTTATCTTATCACAAGACAGGTTCCAACAAGCTTCTGTAAATAGACTAAAGATCTACATTCTATAAATCTAGAGGATTAGTGAAGCTTAGATACATTAGTTAGAAGAGAGTCTTTATCAAAATTGACATTCATCCAAGACTTCACATGGTCACCCCATGGATAGGCTATAATAAGTTATGTAAAATGATTATTAGCAAGATAAAATGATATCTAAGACCTCACATGAGTATTTTATAGGTATACTGCAATAAGTATTGTAAAAAGAACATTCAACAGAACAAGATATAAAAGGAGTTTTATATTACAATTATAGAGACTTGTAAGAGAATAAAGGGAAAAAGTAATATAGTTATAGGTAGTTGGGTAGTTGGAGTTCTTCTGACAATAAGCCACACTGACAGGTTGATAATCTAAAAATGGGTTCATATTGATTGCACTATAAATAACATTAAGTTCTTATATATATTTACAAGATGTATATAGCTAGAACTTCTTATACAAGTGTGCAATATTTATATTTGTTATCTCAAAATTAAAATTAAAAAATTTTTGTAAATAATTAATTTTGAAAGACCAGTAGATCAATAGTGTAGTAGTAGTGCTCTCAGGTCATCAATTACTGTTTCGAGTTTAATACCACTATGAAGTAGTATCACCTAAGCCTAGATAGTACAAGAAGATTTCATTCATTCCATGATGATAATCTAATCACCTCTCTATCTAATCATGGGGTATCCAAAGATCACAAGATACTTCAGTCAATTTTAGTGCTGAAGTCACCTTATCACAAAACAAGTTTCAACAAGTACCTGCAGATAGGCTGAAGATTTGTATGCTGTAAAAATTAGGGAACTAGCAGAGCTTAGGCACATTAGTTAGAAGAGGGTCTCTATTAAGAATCGACATCTATCCAAGACTCCACATAGTCATCCCATAGGCAAGCTGTAATAAGTCATATAAAAAGGATAACCAGTGAGACGAAATAATATTTAAGACTCCATGTGGATATTCTGTAGGCATATTATAATAAGTATTGTAAAAAGAATATCTGACAGAACAAGATATAAAAGGGTCTTATGTTACAGGCCTAGGAGCTTGTGAGAGGGTCAAGATATCTGTAATATAGATATAGGTAGTTAAATAGTTAGGTTTCTTTCAACAACAAGCCACATTGATAAGTTGATAACCTGGAAATAAGTTTTATATTGAGGTACCTTAAAATTTCTATATATATATTTTAAGATGTATATAGCCAAGGTGCATACTGTATATAGCTGAAATTCCTGTACAGGTGTGCATTTCACATGTATGACTGAGTTTTGTTATCCCTTAAAAAAAAAAAAAAAAAAAAAAAAAATTTGAAAAAATTATAAAAATTAAATAATTAAATAATTAAATAATTAAATAATAAAAAAATTTTTTTTAATATATAAAATTATTTAAAAAGAATATATAAATTCATAAATTTATAATTTTATTAATAAAAATTTTTTATTAAAATTATTTAATTAAATACAGTATATTAATCCTTAAGTTGCATCTAGAGAAATAGTTTTTTGATGATGGATGAGTTAGTATGTAAAAGTTAAAACATTTTGTAAATATCTTTTATATGTATAATAAAATCAAGTCATATTGACCTAATTGCAGATTAAAAAAAAAATAATAATTAAATATATTAAGAAAATAAATTAAAAAGAAAAAAATTTTAAAAATATTATATTAAAATTATAATAAAAAATATATTTTCAATCCATAAAAAATATATATATAATATATATAATTATTTATAAAATTTGTAATATATTTTTTAAAATAGTTTTTTTAAACTTTAAAATAAAATTTTATAATAAATAGATTAATAAATCATCAAATAAACTATAACAAATAATTTTTTAGAATTTAAAAATACATTTTAAAAAAATTTTTTATAATAATAAAATTTTTAATCAAATTATAATTAATTAAAATTTTTCAAAAGTCAATGTTCTATATTGTATATAGGTATATTATATATTTTTTAAGATTTTTTAAATTTTATTTTATTTTATTTTTAAAAAATATTAGTTAAATATAATATAATATTTATTTTTTATTTTTTCTATCTATATATTTTATTTTTTATTATAAAAGTTTAAAAAAACTTTTTTTTATTAGTT